AGACAACATGATCCTCTTATATATATATACTGGAAACGAAGATTTTCATGGTCTTCTCAACTTTCAGTTTCCAAGGCATAGATGTGGCCAACGGCCTGGTATTGAACATCCTAAGATTGAAGAACACATACGGGTTTCTCTGAAACTGGGGTACCCCATTCCATCCGTTGCTTAATCATCATGTTCCCAAACTCAAAGTGGTCATGATTTTGGGAAAATATCTGATTTTCAAACGCACCCTGCATAGAGAATTTTGTGTTCATCTACCCAACTTGCTCTTTTGAGCCGCCTTACAGGTGTAAATCTGTTGGCGTGCTTTAACCATTGCTCCCTTTCAAGAGACAAATGGTTGGTGAATGGAGCAATTCTTCATTGGTAAATGTGGCAGTGGAACACATCATATATATATATATGAGGGTATTGCTGGGTGGTTATATAGAATTATATATTTATATATACATTAGACAACTCTGATGCACAACATCTTCCAACAAAAAATATCCAACCTTGACTCTATAAAACAACTCTGGTTCAACATCCTCATATTATATATACACACTGTGTATAATACACATGTCTTTCCTGCACTTTCCGAACAACCATGAGGATCTTCCATGTGACTGGACGAATTGTTCGCCATGCAGGTACATGGTCGGCGTGGCCTGTACTGTCATTGCTGAGGCTTGTCCTTTTTCTGGGGGGAGGGGTGGCACTCTGCCATTTAACATGTTTAGCAACTGGTTGAAAAAGGCGTTGATTGACTATCGAAGCCATGAGTTTATCTTCTTGCTGCTTAGCATAATTTAGCAAACGAGAAAGGTCAGTAATACCATGGATCGTTGCTAAATCCTGCACCAGTTGGTAGATGGGCAAAATCCCACTATAATCCCATTAAATTTACAGCGTTTCATAGTTACCAATAGGTGCTGCAGGATTTCGCAACCATCCACAGTAGTGATTCTTGAGCTTCGTGTCAAAAAATCCAAAAACAAAGCATAGCTCCAAACATTCCCGGGAAGGGATCCGAGGGAGCATTGAAAGAACCCCCCCCATTTTTTCAGTGGTCAACGCCATGGTTTCTGATTTGCCAAACAAAATCACCTCCAAAGAAGCCCAGGGTTTTAGCAGCGTCTTTCACATGTCTGGCCGCTAAGATCGTGCACTTTGTTGGATACCTTGGTGTCGGGTGATTCAATACTTTGATCTTATGTATAAGTGGGCATATATATATATATATATTATACGTATATAATAGGATATATATATACATATAAATTAGCATATATATATATACTTATATACATACTGTAGAACCAACTAGAGTGTAAAAAAAACATGTTTGTAGGATTTCTAACATTGGCAATGCATTTATATTTTGGAACACGCCACCCAGAAAATCGCCTAAGACGAGCCCTGGTGGAATGTGTTGACTCTGGGTGGATTTTTTCTTGGTCCTAAACAAGAGATGTTGATGATGATCATTCCCTTTTTGTTCATTAATGGAGGTTTGAATGGGAAAATCATTCCCTAGTTAATTTAGTTAATGATGATTGCTCAAAAACGAAAAAATGATGGTTCATGATTTTCCCATTCAGACCTCCATTGATTAAATAGGGAATGTTCCTGCCACGTTTGATTCTCGGAGGGTTGGTCCCCAGTAAAAAGGTGGACTAAACCGGTCACTAATGAATTAAACCAAGGTATCCGGATGCATGCTATTTGCCAAACCTTGATATTGTATTATAGCCAGTGAATCCCACTTTTTTTCACCAGGTTGGTTCTTATGATTATTTGGAAATAGGTTCCTGTAAAGTCTAATATACCAGGGACCAGGGGTTAACTATTTACTTAATCCATCTTAATCCTCATTTTCATTAATAGTTCCTCATGTTCATTCAAGCAATATAGCCTAATATAGGTGAAAAACAGATGCTCATTAGAATGACCCACTACAGTTGTGGCCCTTTACCAGTTTTAAGTACGTATAACCCCATTTATAGAATGTAGAATCCCATTTATAACCAGTTATAACATGTTATAACTAATAAATGACCATAGCTGTAAGAGATTTATCTCCGCCAGCCTCCGGCTCTCGCGCTGGAGGCAGCTACCGCGAGAGATGCGGAATTGGAGCTGCTACTTGGCGCCCGATAGCGAAGTTGGTGAATATGTATGCATCACATTACATTACCCTACATTACATTGCATCACATTACATTATATTATATTATATTGTATTATATTCTATTACATTATAATATATTATACTATATTGTATTATATTATTATATGTATAATGTTATTCGAAATTACATTAATATTGTAATTATCCTGAAGTAGATAGAATAAGGATGTTCAAACATATACCCATTTTAGTGAGCATGTTTTCGAAATTTCCAGGCACCACCACAAACACCTTTTTCACAGCTCAAATGTGGTATGTTCATGGAACGTATTGCATTGACTTGCTGTTAATCTCCGGTTGATGGTTTCAGAGATGTTATGCTCCTTGTTGAAGGGGTGGTGACACCAACAATATTTTTGCGTGAAACATCTTGAAACTGGGAATTCTCCTCGGGAAGGGCGTGCTTGCTGCACAAGAATGCATCAATATAGCTGGCAACAAGTCCAGCGATTCGCGCGGCTTCGCAAAAGGATTGAACGCAAAGGCCAAACTCATTAGCGCACTGAGTACCACAGGGTTGCCGGTCGCCTATTGAAACTCGGTCCGCTCGCGAGATACCCGATGGCTGGAAAACAACTATCTCTCTGAAGTCTCCAGAAATTGGTCATGATTTGTCAGCCGGGAAAACGCAGATACTGTGAAAACCAGGAAAGGCTGCAGGCAGAAGCAGCTTTCATGGAGTTTGATAGCTGAATGTTGTCACATCTGCATGGGCTCAAGATGGCTCAAGCCAATGCCCAGTGAAATGTTTGTTGGTTTATGTTTACCCATCTGATTATAGATCTATCACTATCTACCATAACCCCAAGCCAACTCAGCCAAACAAGGGGGTCCACTGTGCTGTTTGTTTTTCCAAAACATTCTTTCAGCGGGCTTACTCCGTCATCTGATTGGTTTTCCTCGGGGTAAGCAATATGGATGTCTGACCACTGTCGATCGTTTTCCTATTTGCGATCCAAATTTGCCCAAAATTTTTGACCCCTGTAATATCCTGCAATCAAGCACTAAAAACCCAACACAATTTAAAATTCCGTACCCTCCGGTGATCAAACATGGAAATGGAGCATCCAGTAACATCCCTCATTTATAGAAGTTCCCATTTATAAACCTCAATTTCCACGTTTGATTACCGGAGGTAAATTCTCATATTAATATCCAATTAGTGTTCTACAAAGCATGGCCGTTTTCTTCTGTTTTTTGGATGCAGCTCACACCTTGATTTTTCCGTTTTCCCAGCAGGTTTTCCCTGTGACGTTCCCACAAGAATGTCAATCAATCAGAGGCTTCTCGTAACCGTCGTAACCGCCAAAAGGACAGATTTGGACGTTAGTACCCTCTGGTAAACTAACATAGCTATTGAAAATGGTCATTTATAGTTGATTTACCCATAAAAAATGGTGATTTTCCATAGTTATGTAAACGTTTACCAGAGGGTAGTTTAGTAGGATTGCACCGGAGGTCATCCATTTTCATAGCTATTTCCATAGCCATTTTCACTCTGGATTTCCAGGGATGATACATAGCTACTCCCTGGTCCTATCGGATAGCCAGGTTCCAGTCTCTTGGACCTATTCTTCGAGCTCAGGACCGGGATGACCTGGACACTTCGGTGATACTAAGCAATAGAATAATCTCATTAGGGGAATCCCGTTCTTGACTAACCAGTATCTCAAAGGGATGGTTTAGTAAGTTTAGTACTCAAAGTGAGGAATTCAGTGGACCCATTCGTACCCCAAATGGCCCAATAATGGTGAGATTTCATATGTGAAAATCGCCATGGGAAACTGACAATTTCTCAGATCAAAACCCAGACCGGTGAATCTATGCAGATCCTTGGCTGCTTGTGCTTAGTAGGGAATGGGGGAATGGGATGATTGTTCATTATGGTTATCGATTATTATGGGTCATTCCCCCATTCCCTACTAAGCCTACTAAGCACCCGTAAGAATAAGCGCAATCATTTGAAATCTAGTTTTATATATATATATATACACATATATATATATATACACTTCCAACATCTCAATTGCAAGTTGAATATGAAGCACCATGGGATTTTTGGGATACCCTATTTTCAGAGCCGAAGGAGGCGGCAGCAACCCCGGCCAATTACGAATCTTTACAAGCGTCCATCTGGAATCCCGCCCGGGTTGGTGAATTTGTTCATCTTGGTCTGCAGCATCAAACCACAGCCTTGACCCAGGATGTTTTTTCAGCAGTATGCTGGATTCATTCATTTTTACGGGAAATGGAACCTTGTTGCCTGACTGGACAGTGAAATACACGCTGCTTTCTTCTGTTTGGTACCCAAAGATGTTTTGAAGTGTTTCTTCGGATCACCCAGTACACATGAGCACAACAAAGGCTGAACCAACATGAACCAACTATTCCTATCGATGTGTGATTAGGAAGTGTCACACTAGCAATATGTTTCACATTACCGACATTTCTCCTTGAGACCGACAAATCATGAGATGACACAACAGATGCGAAGCACTTGGGTTTGTCTGAAAACGGATCGATGTTGGATGATTTTCCCGCAAATGTGCAGATAAACCCAGTTGGAGGACAACTAGTGGGACCTTGAGTCATCATCCAACTGGGTTGTTTATGATTGGGACATCATATGAACCAATATAAATCAGCTATGAAAATAGTTCAAGGCAAAGTCATCATATTGGTTCATCATCCTTTTTAATGGGACTTTCCCTTATGAACCAATATCAACCAGCTATTCTTGGGGGAATTCCCCCGGTGGAAACCGCCAAACTTGGCTGTTTTGGCCATGAAACTCGCTTGCGCCTGACGTCCGGCGATGCGCCGTGTGCGCAGTGCCCTTGTGCGCTATGGATGGGTGGAAGCACAGGGGAAGGAGGACCAGGGCCCACCGGGGCCTGCGGCAGGGGGTCATCTGCATATGGGGAGGTTCTGAAATGGAGAAAAATGACCTTCGAAAGCATTGGATGGGGTGCTTTCTCAAGCTTTTTAGGTCCCCAATTGATAGGTGTATCCTTAAAGGTTTAGATTTAAGCACCAAAGATGGGGATTTATAGTTCATTCGTGATAGGTAAGTGGATAACTACCATGACCGTCTATTGGATTTAAGGCATGATGTGTTGAACTAGTTTGATGGAGTAACATAAGCCAGCGATGATTATTCCCCTAACTGGGCTTTCCCATTGACAAGTAGGTCCACTACCTGTTGTTTGTTTGCTTACTAGCTTGGATGATTGCGCACTCAAGTCGTGGCCAAACAAAAACCACCAAAGGGAAAGGCCAGCAAATGTAAGGGAGATAGGTTTGCTGTTCATTTTTTTGGTTCAGTTTCAGACGTTAAACTCCACTCCAGAGTAAACATATTTCAGGAAAAGCAAGTTGACATGATTGGATTTTTTGAAGTGTTCAATGTTTTTCGAGAAAGCTTTCCACGGACAATTATGGCCATGGCGTGAAGTATGTTCCATTATGTTCGTCAATTGAAAGTGGTTTCCCCCATGTTCCCCCCTGAGAATATTCTGTTGATAGAAGCTTTTGGACTTACTCACGTCCTCGCAAGGCGGTTTATTTGCATACTGTAGCTGGTTGGTGTCATTAAAGAGCCCTGGGATACTCCTAACAGGGCCACTCCTAAAAGCTGCTATCGTTTCAAACAAAATCAAAACAAACACACAATATCAAAAATTCAACAACAAACCTGCAAAGTAAACAATCCAACAATTCAAAAAGAAAGTTGGAACCTCAAAAAAAAAACAAAAAAACGGTCCAAACAAACAAAAAACAATCACATTCAAACAAATAAGAAAAACAAAACAAAAAACACAAAACAATTGAAAAAGAAAAACAAACTAAAAACACACACACACAGACACAAAATCAGAAAATATTTTTTTATAAATTATCAACAATTATTTAGGTACGTCTTTGAAATGACCTAAAAAATATGAATGAAACAATAGCTATTTGGAATGAAATATATTTAGAATGAGATGGAATAATTATTTGGAACGCAATTGAATTATTTGGAGCTAAAATGAAAAGGAATGTTCTAGGAGTGTTCCTATAAGGAATGTCCCTCTCCATAGAAAAGATGGTGGTTTCCCGGCGCATTCACCAGGAGTGGCTTGAAGTCCTAGATTCTTGGCGCAGTCCGCCGGGATCTACCCTCTGGTAAACGTTTACATAACTAACATAACTATGGCAAAAATCACCATTTTCAATGGGAAAACTCACTATTTCGACTGGGCCATGTTCAATAGCTATGTTAGTCATGACCAGAGGGTAAACCTCCATTTTCCTATGGTTTTCCTATGGTTTTCCTATGGATCCCATGGTTTTTTGACATAACCAGAGGCTAATTGTTGACATATTGTTGACATATTACCAGGATTTAAGATCCTGAAGATCCAAGTAGTGTTTCACCGAATCGGAAAATCCGAAGATGGTTTTTGACTGGTTCTTCAGCAGTGAAAGTCATCAAAGAGAGGTGATCGTTTCCATGAATTTCGGTCCTGGAGCGCAAAAAACTTTGCGGATCTACACTACCCCAAGCAAGGCGTAGTTCCGAGCCTACAGGGAAGGTCATGCTGGACACTGACCCCGTTCTTTTCATCCGGGATGAGTTCTCCCCCCTGGGCTTTTACTGACAGGAGAAGTGGAGAAAATCTGCCAAAAGTTGTGGTTGTGATACCAGTTACAACGTGCTTAAAGTGATATATATATATAATTATATATATACATATACTAGGTCAATTTTAGATGGATACAAACTAATCCTGACTAGTTGTTTGGTATGGGAATATCTGCGTTCACCAGCAAAGATGTTTTCATTTTTTGCAGGGTATCTAAGATTGGCAATGACCCTGATTTGGTACTTATTGATACTTGCAATGGTGGACAAGAGTGACAATGAATATCATTTACATAATTTTACATATAACTTACATTATTCGTAGTCCATTTTCCAGGCCGTTTTCCATGTGGAGGTGTCCTGAAATGGGGGTACCCCCAAATCCATTTTATGTTTGGATTTTCCATTCTAAACCATCTATTTTGGGGTACCCCCATTTATGGAAACCCCCATGTGTACCTCAATTTTCGATGGTGTTGTTAATAATCCATAGTTTCATTTCCTTTTCCACATATAATGGACTATTTTTGATAATTATGTTTTTGATATCATAATCCAAAGGTTTTCCACATCTCCTTTTGACAATTCAATTCCACCGTTTTCCATAGTCCATCCATAGTTCTTCCACAGTTATGGCCCGAAATACCAGTTATAAGTACTAACAAAACCCCATCTATAGAATGTTTTTTATCCCATAGAAATAGCCAGTTAGTTCACTCATAGCCATGGCCATGACTGCAGCCATCCCATCGAGTCCAGGCGGCTCGAGCGGCCGGAGTGAAGAGCGGCTCGAGCGTTGCGAATGAGACGTCGCTGGACGAGGGATGTGACGGCACTTGGGGTTGCGTCCCGGTCAGCCCATGTATAACCCACATATATATATATATTATATATATACACTGTGTATATATATTGATTATATGTTTAGTTCAGGATACCGGATATTGGATACATGTTTGGATTATAAAATTGCTTTGAAACCATGCAGTCACTGGGATGCACGTCCAAGTATGGGGCAACCGTTGTATGATTTGATGGCTTGGCGCTTATTCTATGTTTGTTCAACTAAGTGGGCGAGTTGTTTCTCAGTTCACCAGTTGGAGTTGTATAAATCACCAGTTTTCTTCGGCTTTTCCCCTTTCGCATCGTGGTATGCTTCTAGGTCCTAGACCCACCAAGTAGCATAGACAGAAACAGGAGTAGCTCTATGGAGGTTTCCTACGATGGGGGATCCCCAATAGCTGCTGCTTGGTTTATTTCATGGAAAAGCCATATCTGTAAATGGATGATGGTATCACGAGGTATCACTGTCTGTATCACCATAAATATGGAAACCTCCATATTAACAGAAATATATGGAAACCATTGGAAACCTACATTAATAAATGGTTGGTTTAATTATCATGGAAAGCTACACAGCAAATCATAGCAACATCTCTTTCTCTGCATGTTGTTTGCTTGTGCAGCTCATCCAGAAAAACCCATTCCGTGGAACTGCAGGCCCCCGGCACCACATCTAAAGTTATGAACGCAATTTATCCAGATAATTGTTACAATAATTATGAACACATCAACAAATTGTTCATAATATTGCTGTATGTTACAATAATTATCCAATTTTTTGAACACATCAACTGGATACCCCTGGCATGACCGTGTCGGTAGCGGCGGCCCAGGCATGACCTCACGCAGCCCCTTGTGCTGCGGAAATGTGCAGAGCAGTGGCGAAAGACATGGAGTCGCAACGTGGCAAGACAGGAAGGGCATGGATCTGCGAGGATACAAGGTGGGACCCCCAAAGGATAGCTAAGACTTACATAACTTGGTGAACTCGGCTTTATGGGGGATAACTATATATAACCATATCTAACCATATCTAACCATATCTAACCATATCTAACCATATCTAACCATATCTAACCATATATAACCATATATAACCAGATATAACCATATATAACCATATCTAACCATATCTAACCATATCTAACCATATCTAACCATATATAACCATATATAACCAGATATAACCACATATAACCATATCTAACCATATATAACCATGGTTAATGGGCTTATTATGGGCTTTATTAATACAAACTTATAGGGCCTCACCTTGGTTACTTAGGCAAAATCGCGGGTAGATCGACCCAGGGTTGCCAGCAGCGGTGTCTCAAGCCTTCGACTTATGGCGTGTCCTTACTTCATGATATGGATATTACATGATATTAGGTTAGATACTGTAGAATATTGCAGAGATATGTGATATATATATATATAATAATAATAATGATAATACAACAATAAAAATAATAAATAAATAATAATAATGTACATATATAATATACACATAGGACCCCACATGCAGCACCAGTACCTAGTCGTTTTGGTACTTAAAGTCTTGGAAACACATGTCGCAGCTGCTTCGCCAAGGAGACTCCTTCATTGTACCTTTGATCAAACTTGGGAGCTGGGAATCGAAAGATTGGTAAAGCGGCTGGCAAATGGTTGGTGAATTTCAGTAAATGTTCAGTCATGAAATGCCTGGTGAATTCTATAATCTATACAAATGGCTGGCAAATGACTGAAATTACAATTTGGCAATTTCAGTAAAATGACTGAATAGATTATAGAAATGTATAGAAATGTCCAGTCATAGATGGAGTGACCTGAGCAGAAAAAAAGGACGCGTATTGAGTTGGCAGAAATTGACGATCTCAAGTGCACCCCACCTGTAGGCCCACTTCGTGGCACGTTTTTTGAACACTAAAAAAATCAGGTTTTCAAGGGCCAAGATGAATCATATTTCAGGCTACTCAAACTCAAGGCACTAGATGACCCCCGTCCGGGGTACCTAAATAGAATGGGGGGGCTGAAGCCCCTTTTAAAATAAAAAAAATAAAAATAAAATGAAAATAAAATGGGTCAGACCCCTGCATTTTATTTTGTGGGTGCATTTTATTTTTTGAGGTGCCTAACCCATCAAGTTAACCGACAGAGATAGCATCATAGCAAAGATGCACAACTGTGAACGGCCTGATCATTTTGTGAAACGTTCCAGCGGATTCACGAACGCTAATAAAATGATAACGAAAACGATAACTTTTGGCATCAAAAATGGTTCGTGTGAGACACTGTTTTTTTTCCCCTTTCCTCTCCCTTCCCTTTCCTTTTTCCTGTCTCTTCCTTTTCCTTCTCCTTTCCTTTTTCCTCTCCTTTTTCCTTTCCTTTTTCCTTTCCTTTTTCGTTTCCTTTTCCATTATTTGGACATTAACTTCGAAAATGGGTTGGCCCCCCTCATTTTCTATTGCCTTCCTAAACAAGATTAAACAAGACTAAACATGGTTAAAACCAATCAAATAAGGAAACAATGTAAAGGACTAAACAAGACTAAACAAGACTAAACATGGTTAAAACCAATCAAATAAGGAAACAATGTAAAGGACTAAACAAGACTAAACAAGACTAAACAAGACTAAACATGGTTAAAACCAATCAAAGAAGGAAACAATGTAAAGGACTAAACAAGACTAAACAAGACTAAACAAGACTAAACATGGTTAAAACCAATCAAAGAAGGAAACAAGACAAAACAAGATCAACCCAAAAGAAAATGCCGGAGCCCGAGGTCCAACAGTTGCATAACGTAGGTCCACCAGTGGCCAGGCGGAGGGTGCCGACGTCATTTTCTTTTTGTACCTGTCCATTGTATTTTGCTTGGGTTTTCCTATCTTAACTTATGCCCTCTCATTTTATTGGCATTTTCTCCTTAGGCCCCTGCATTTTATTTTATTTTTTTAGGTGCCTCACCCCCCCCCCCGGCAACAGACGAGGGTACTAGATGCATATTTTCCTTGTTCAAGGGGATTTTGTGTTCATTCCATTTCTTTTCATGGTGAGATAATGCACATAGATGCATATAGATTGAATTACGGATGGTACCCATGCCAAAGATTTTGACAAGAGCACCATCAGGGAAACTCACAAGCTGCGATTTAAGGACAGGTTTGGACACCAAGACTTTAAATTGCGATCGTGTTTGGATCTTCATGAGTCACTCAACCGCAGCAGCATCCTGCATTGGAGAGGGATGCAAGGGGAGAGATGAAAGCTATCAAAATCTGCGGTTTATTCGGTCCAAATTCGAAACGGAATTTCTTGTGAGAACTCAACTCCATTTGAATGCCATTTTTAAACATATATCCCCAAAAATCATCAAGTCAGCTTCGCATCTACTAGACACGAACGGTGCAAAGCCATGGGTGCACCTGGCTGTCGTAGATGTCCTCTTCGAGCGCCCAAGTTTGTTCGGGGATAGACCCTTCATACTGGGTAAATTATAACGACCTCACTGTCCTCCCTCACTGGGAATAATGGTTAGTGAGGGAACTCATCCCCAAATGCCTTAATTCAGGCTAGTGAAATATTATAATTTACCCAGATCTATGTCATCATATGGGAATGGGTCAAACAACTTATACCCCAATAGTATCCAATTGTTGGGGATGAATCGGATGAAGATATTGTTTTCATGTCAAATGGTTTCAACCCATAGCCATAGAAATCTACAACATGTCCATGTTGGTTGATTGCCTGGTCATCATGTTGTGTTGTTTGAATCCCTCACGATTGGTAAGCCTCCGGTAGACGTTTACATAACTATGGAAAACCACCATGTTTTATGGGTAAATCAACTATTTCTATGGCCATGTTCAAGAGCTTTTTGTATGTTTACCAGAGGGTAAAGCTAAGGCCCCATCCTTCACCACTTTGAAAGCCCAGGTGTTCCTTCACTGGGCCATGGCGATTTGCGCCGCTGAATCCTGGTCTCAGTAGGCAGTGCCAGGTGTTGTCCGTTTTTTTGGGTCACCCTGAAGCAAATCCACGGGGCATGTCTATGGCAATCTTAGTGCTAGTACTGAAGATGATCTATCGGATGCTCTACTCTTTTTGGGGACATACCCATTTTTTTTGTAGGTGACTTAGTTTATCAAAGTCATAACATGTTATAACATGTTATAACCAACAATAGATCTTGCTTCAGATGGCGTTTTTTTCCTCACCATTTGGCATGGGGATGTTTGCACTGAAGCAGTGATGAAATCTTCGAGGCATCTATGATGTTCCTGGAAGGATGTGGAATTTGAATGAATTTGACTGAAAAAATGACCTGTTCAACCCATAAAATGCCAACCCATCTTATATATGCTAATATTATGCTAATATAGTCGGGTAAACGATATCCGACGTCAGCAGAAATGGTATATGATGGTATATGGTTTAATAATGTTTAATATAGGGAACCATCCCTAGCTCGAATTGTTTCTGCTGGGCGAATCGCCATGGTGGAATGTGGTGGGTCATTGCGGATGCTTATTGCAGTGATTGCAGGGTGAGGGCCAAGGCCTAAGGCCTAGTTGAAAGTCACACTGGGGGATCACGGATGCTCACGGCACACTTGGCCAGATTCTGACTCTGGTTTTTCAGAGAATGCCCCTTGGTCAACGTGAATACCTTCCCATTTTTGATTGGCATCCATTGACTACTCGTCACATTGCATTTGGTCATGTTTCGAATCTGGACGAAGGATGATGATTGCGGGTGCTCCCTCAAGTAAAGCAACGTGTCGTGGGTCAAAATTTGGGAGTGATCGAAGACCCACTATATGGTTGGGGGATGCGATTCTGACCAAAAAAATTGAACGGCAGAGGGGCATTGGCATCATCTCCGTATGTAACGGTATGTATACAATACTCGTAACTCGTGTGTATAATTCTCAATTCCGGTGCTGGATCACAAAAATCACAAGGTAGCACGAGATTTACCATGATGCTTGATGAATGACAACGATTGTAACGATTGTAAACTTCTCACAAGATGGCATCAAATGAATGTTTACCCATTAACCATGGCAGGATCAGGGCTGTGCAGCTCAGGAGAGAATACTTTGATCGAGATGATGGTGACGCTAGCATTATTTTCGAGAACAGCCCACTGGCCCTGCGAATCGGCTTGGGATTCCCGTTGGGATCTCGTGATCAGATCAGACTTCAAAAAATCTATCCTATCGACATTAATACCCTCTGGTAATTTAACATAACTATGGGAAATCACCATTTACAGTGATTTTTCCAATTAAAAATTGTGATTTTCAATAGCTATGTTAAATGACCAGAGTGTATACAATACTAAACCACCCATTTGGGAGTGGTTTATGCCACCTATTTATAGATTTTATATGATTTTATAGTGGTTTGGGGGATGTACCCTAAACATACCTGGTTGAAGTGGTTTGGAACCATGACATTTTATGACTTTCCAGAAACAGTTGGGAATATTTTTTTATGATCCCAGTTGACGAACTCCATCATTTTTCAGAGGGGGTAGGCTCAACCACCAAGCAGTTGTGTAATAAACATCTTCCATCAGGAGAAGTTGTTTGGGATGGTCAGCCGACCCCCACCATAGCATCTATGGGGAGGGGAAATCATCCGAAGTAATCACCGTTAAGTAATCTGGTTTTGGACATTCCCAGAGTGGTTGTGAAAAGTACCAGGTGGTGCCCCTTAGCTATGTTTGCTTCTTAGTCATGTAGCTAGGGTTATGGTAGATATATCTGCTTCTATCTACTGTGTGATAGAGTTAGATGATGTCAGATAGCTTTATAAGCCCACTTGTAAATAGGGGTCATCACCTTGTATATACTTCACTTGTATATACTTCAGGTATGATAGCAGAGTGAACTGAACCATAAGCATAGCCTGTTTGACATGGGCAAGGGTGAAAACGAAACACCAACAAATATGTAATATAGATTAATATAGCAGATATGTAATATAGCTAATGTGTATATAATATATAATGTACCATATATATATATAATATCTGGTTGGTGGTTTGGAACATGAATGTTATTTTTCCATATATTGGGAATAATGATCCCAACTGACGAACTCATATTTTTCAGAGGGGTAGGCTCAACCACCAACCAGTGATGTATGGACAGTTTTGCCCTCAAGATATCGGAGGTACCCGGGAAGTGTTGAAGTCTTCCAGTCGACTTTTCGAACAGCACCTGATGAATCCGGGTGTGTCTGAAAATTCGGTATACCCCGGTCCAATGGTGCTCAAAATCTTTGAATTTGAGTTTTCCATAGTTTTCCCGTACTGTAATGAATTTCAGGTACTTTTTTAGCCACTTGTGTTTTTTTTCTTATCCATTTCACCGTCCATGTCCTGGCCTTGGCGCGGGGCACGTTCTCTTAGGTTTTTTGCCTCCACCTTTGCATCAAGCACTTTGGTCGGGCGGTCAATGGCCAGAGGTTTTGTCGGGCATCTCAGCAACTTCGACAGGGAACTGCTTTGGGTTTGATTTGATGGTTTTAGCAGCCCATGTTTGAGCCTACGGGTTGAAAACCGAACCAGCGTTTTGCATGTTTCTACTAGTATGTCTTTCATGGGGTTAACGGGGTGGGGTGGGGTGGGGTGGGGTAATAATGTTCATTTGCATTGCCTGATATACATGATGCTACGCTGCTGTACGTCTTCTTGCACGTCCTCACATACATGATGCTATGCTGCTGTACGTCGTCTTGCACTTCCTCACATATATGATGCTACGCTAGTGTACGTCGTCTTGCACTTCCTCACATACATGATGCAACGCTACTGTATGTCGTCTTGCACTTCCTCACATATATGATGCTACGCTAGTCTACGTTAGTCTTGCTCAATGGAAAGATTTGGACGCATGTTCGCGCTTGGCAGTGGAGATGGGAAAACAGTTCCCACAAAAACCTCTCCAAGCTCACTGCAGAAATTGTGAAGAACACTTAGCGCAGAAAAAAAGAGAGTGCCGCTGAGGTTTTTTACATATCCAGTGAAAAGTACGCGCGTACTTTTTAAGGAAATTGAACTTTGAGAGAGATGCAAAACCACTGTGAGTTGTGGTATGAAATCAATGACGAACACTGCAAACGTTGAAAACGCGGGTTCGATAAACAACCCGCCGGGATGTTTGACAAGTCGGGTGCAGTTGGGGGTATGTTTTATTAATATATCATATCTACAGTATGGGATTTGAGCCTCCGTAAGCTGGGATATATGCCAAATATGGTTACCCTTTGGTAATTTAACATATATGGCTATTGAGAATGGCCCATTTATAGTGGATGTATCCATTGAAAATGGTGATTTTCCATAGTTATGTTAGTTTACCAGAGGGTATATACCCACTGGTAACTGAAACCACACCCCCAAGTTGGGTGAAGGTTCGGGTGAAAAAAACGTGCCAAAACCGACAGTTCATCTTGCGAAAAAAAAGGACATCCATTTGACTCTCGACCGGTTCATGATGTTTAGGGGGACACCTCATCTGGTTGGTGGTTTGGAACATGAATTTTATTGTCCATTTCATATATGGGATGTCATCCTTCCCATTGACTCATTTTTTTCGGGCTAGGTATACTACCAACCAGTCATTACTCTCAGCTGTGCCATTTGGCTGCTGGTCAAAACTTGAGTCAAAAACACACATCACAGAACATCCCCAATTGCTCTCTGGAATATCCGACCCCTAGCACAACTAGGTAAACAAAATTCGCGAGTTCTCAAACCGGTTCCATGGATGCATTGGAAATCATTCAGCCAGATATATGATCTATGATGGCTTTGTTTAGGGCTCCAATGCGAAACTCTGTAACTAAGTCTTAGCTTCATGCTTAGATTATCTTAGATGTTCAAAAGTTGTTCTCACAGTCAATAATGTTGAGATCCAAACATCTATGTTACTTGAGGGTATTTGGATATATTCGGAGGTTTCCTAAAATGGGCGGACCCCCAAAGCCTCCGAGTCATTAGACCATTTTAGTATTCAAGCCTATGATTTAGGTATCCCCCAATTTTAAGAAACCCCCATACTTGGGGGTGCATCCCACTTTGTAAATCGGATATACCCCCAGTTATATATCGAATAATTATTCTCAGTTATATATGCCATCATATGGGTTATAATATTTAATATATGGATATAATTTTATATACACCAAATATATATATACATTATATATATATTGATTAAACGGATTATAAATCACGTAGGAAGTTGGATGCACGTCCATGCCACTTGTGAACTTTCAGACAACCGGAGGTCGCATATCCATGCGGAGCCCGTTCTCAACTTGGGTCGCCGACACAGCTTCATCGCCTTCCATGGCGCGCTGAGTCGAGGGAACCGAGGGTAATTCTACGGGTAATTCTACGGGTAATTCTACGGTATAGCGACTAATCACTAATCCAATATATATACATATTATCATTCCCATATGCTCCATGTATGGTATATTTACCTACATTTGGGTGATTTCTAGGGCAAATGTTGGTAAATATTCCATACATGGAGCATATGGGATATATATATATATATATACATGTTATAATTAGACTAATCACGATTTCATGAATTGGTATTCATTTGATTGGTCATTCATAGTACGAATGGCATACGATGGCTGTCTTTGCGGTATTTGTATGTATGAATTCTTCGGGAATGTTTGGCATTTTGGCAACCTGTCATTAAATTTAAATTGTTGTGCCCATGCAGTTTAGGTATTTACTGCACCTGGAAAAATACGTTGCACCTTGAGCATCACCTATGCTGCTTCGTCAATTGTGATTCCCAGTTCATGGGTCTCTACAATGCCGCAGCGGGATAAACAAGGTCATAGAATTTATGTTGAGTCATTGTTCGAATAGAATTTCTCCTCACTCATAGTATCATGCATTGTTTTCACGTTTTAAGCGAACCTGCCTGCTTCTTGTGGATATCGATCAAAATGGGGTTCCCAAAATAGGATGGAATCCTTGATTATACCTGATGAACAAGGGGCTTTGATCATCTTTGATCCATGCCCAGTTGAAATCATGTGATACCCACAGCCTGTGAAAACCTCTCCGGGTTTCCGGGGCAATATGGACCAGGAAAGACCTGTCAGACCTGTCAACGATACGAAAAAGATTCGACCGATAGACGTAGAATGAGATAGATATACCATGATATACCCAAGCCACTTATGGTATGTCTATTATATAATATATATATATATATATATACATAATATATATATATACAATATATATATATATTTACAATATATACATATATATATATGGTATATCCATGGTATATTCAGGTCTTGGATATCCTCAGACCAGGTGGCTCTAGCGCCATATGGATGGCGCAGCTGGTCGGTCGCAGTGCATGGTTTCTGGCTCCGCCGGGCCGGAGGCGGGGGACGAAGTGGGGAAGCTGAGTTGGATTTATGATGGGAAATATCATGGGTATATATTATATGGTAGATACATATAGGAACTGAAATAATGGTATCATAATGTTACTTGGCTATATATATATATATGGTATTATAATGGGTAACTATGATGGTATACTACAAATATATGAAATATGATATGGTAGATACTTTGGCAAACTAGATATATGGATGATATGTTGGATGATTACATCATCTACTGGAAGTTTAGTAAGTGGAGATAACTCCCCGTAATCATGATGTAAATGTTAAAGCTGTTCAAAAGTATAGCCTTTTTTAAAATGGGAGTACATAGCACTTACAACACTTTACAACTGGGGGGCACGCCTTTTGCACAGAAGATTCTAGCCATGAAAAATGGGATGAACGTGATGATTTGAGCAATGAAATAGGGATGGAACGAGAAACATGATTTAACCAAGAAACACAAGGTATTCAATACTACATTTTCACATGTTGAGGGTTAACGGACTTGAAACGATGCTTCAAAAGTGTCGACATTCTCCTGGTGTCCCCACAATATTGCGATATGAAGGCGGCTCAATGATTTTTTTACCTGGAAAACCACGTCAACATGGGCAGAGACCAAGTGACCAAGGCAAGTTTGAGTCTGCTCATTCCCCGAACCAATGCCATTGACCCACCTGAAATCGAAGATTGGCAAAGACACAAGCATTGTTCTGAAGGGACATCATATTCGAACCCCATTTTTTGGCGTTTCCATGTGATTTGTTTCACGATTGCGGGTGGTTTTCTGATTCGAGGAGCAGAGATATTTTTCCAGTTATAAGAAACAACGCCATTTAAATCTTGGCTAGATGAAAATCCCAACATCAATTACTCTTTGCACTTCTGGTGTTGACCGACATACTCATCATATTATATGTTCTGGTCATCTAACATGTTTTTCCCCCTCCATGTTTCTCGTTTCTCCATTGCCACTTCGGGGGCAGTTCCCATTGGCGAAATCCATGGATCCTCTAGGTCAACATGATTAAACCATGGTTAAACCCTATATAACCAAGCAAGAAGTGTTGGTTTAGTGCTGGTTTATTGGTAGCTACAATCATCTCAGTGAATTTCTCCCCATGAAAAGCCTAGCCATGTGGTCCGGGTTAAAGCAAAACACGTTTGGAGGCCAGAAACCAGAGAGCCATGGTCCTACGTGCCAGAGACAGAGGCAGGCTGCAGAATCAAAGGCATTGGATATCTCTATATCATTCTATATCATATGTATTAGTCATGTATAATATTTAATATTATTATTATATATATATATTATTAATTATATATATATTATTAATTATCTATATATTATTGATTATATTTATATATTGTAAATTATATATATATCATAAATTAAATAAATAAATACATATATATTATATATATATTATAAATTATATATATATACTATAAACCATATATATATATATTATTATTAACTATATATATATATTCCACTATATGTCTATTAACACGCATCTCACTATAATAGCTACTCTATTTAGGTATATGTGTATACATACATACATACATACATAATATTGTAAATGTGTACAGATGGCTAATCTCAACCCCAAAAGTTGAATGTGGAAACTGAATAAATTTCACAGCCAGCCCCTGACATAGCAGTTGATATTAATAACCCCATTCAACGATCATATAATAGATAATTATATACATAACATGTATCTTTATATTATCTATGTAATATACATATGTATCCAAGATTTCAAGAATCCAATAATCCAAAAAATATTAAAGCATATGTTTTACATATATTATTAAAAAAAACACATATATCCATTACAGAATCAAAGAATTCGCCAAAAAAATGCGACGAAAACCCGATCCGAGGTCCCCAGTGTTATCGTGGAACCTGGGGACGTCATCTACGTGCCCGAAAACTGGTGGCGAAGTTTCTGGAGCGCGGGCGCTGTTTGATGTCTCAGGAAGTGGGATTCTGATGGGATTCTAGTGAAATTCCAAAGTTTTTATGGGATTCTGATACGATTCCCCCCATAGGAATGGTATGTTTTGTCACGGGATTCGATGGGGAGTATATTTCAGGGTATTCTAATGAGATTCTATGAGATTATAATCATCGGATTATACTGGTTTAATGGGATTGAATGTGAATTCTAAATCCCTTTCCCTGTTCAAATTAAACACACACACACACCCCTCAGAATTCTCAGAACTCATGATTGAGTAAGGGATAAAAATACAATAACATATAAAACGCATATTGGGACCCATCTATAGGGTGTGTTTAATATTTGGGAAATGGGATTCTTGGGTATGCAACATTTTGTTGGATGCAAAACGACTCACAAATGTTCCCACCATCCGTTTCCGAATCCCCAGTTGTCACCATGGACCATGGTTGTTTCAATACCAGTCGTCATGGCCATGACGACTGGAATGATCCAGGATCAACCCGTCTTGCCAAACCCTATATTTTGGTACTTGTTGGTTGATGCAAATGTACTGTATTGAATGAATCAGGTTTTTCTTCGGGAAAACTACATGTGTTGGTAATGAAACCTAGACTATTGTTGCTCAAACCATGCTTACAGGTCAAACAATCCAACTGCTTTTGTTAAACCGCCGATTTAAAATTCGCCGACAAATATGGCTATGTTTGATAGTTGACAACTAACCCGCATTTGGTTTCGCATGTTTGGCAGGTTTTGTTTGTCAGATGCATTTGTTTTGCCTGAACTCCCGTTTGTGTCGGTTAAACCACAATGTCTGATTGCATCCACTTGTCGATCTCGTCATACCTTCAAAGCCTTTTTGATGTGTTGAGATCCACTTTTTACTTACATTCTGTACAGTTATGGCCCTTTCCCGGTTATAAGTACTTATAACCCATTTATAGAATGTATAATCCCATTTATAACCAGTTACAACTAAAAAAATGCCATAATTGTACCTATCCCGGAATACCCTCTTTATGGTTCTTCCAGATCTCCCCCGTCTCCCAGTTCATCATGGGAACAACAAGTTTCATCCCTGGATGGGAGTGACATATTGTTCGAAGTTGTTTAAGCCCCAAAATCTCTTCATTGGTCGAAGGAAACATGAATACCGGAAACTTCCACATTTGATGGCAACACACCATGGTCCCCGATTTGGATTTTCCCAAAAACGATCCAATAACATTGGGAATCTACCATTTTTTGCTGGAGATATCCTCATTCCATATATATATATTATAGCCATTAACGTGGTAAGCCCAATTACCATCCCCAATATTAGTATATACATGGGAAAGATCATCCAGGTAGATGGCAGCCAAGGTTTACCACTAGCATAGCATTGATGGTGATCCATTCTTCATGTATTATCGTTGGTTGGATACCCATGATTGACCATTATTAACAGCTATTCACCACTATTCACCACTATTAACCACTATTAATCATAATGATTGATGGTGTCATCCAGCATTTTTCGGTTGGTTCCTCCCAAAATTCCACAGGAACTTGGAGGACTTCAACTTGGGACTGGGCTGGGAGAGTCCTGACGATGGATCGGGCCACTGGAGCGATGCCATGCACGTGGCTCAGCCGCTAGAGGACTACCAAGGAGGATCATTTGCTGGAACTTTCATTGGGAATTTCATGATACTTTCATGGGCATTTCCTGGGCATTTCCTGTGATTTCCTGGTGATTTCATGGGAGTTTCCTTGGAATTTCATGGGGATTTAATGGGAATTTCATGGTACTTTCATGGGCATTTCCTGGGCATTTCCTGTGAATTTCCTGATGATTTCATGGGAATTTCCTTGGAATTTCATGGGGATTTAATGGGAATTTCATGGTACTTTCATGGGCATTTCCTGGGCATTTCCTGTGAATTTCCTGGTGATTTCATGGGAATTTCCTTGGAATTTCATGGGGATTTAATGGGAATTTCATGGTACTTTCATGGGCATTTCCTGGGCATTTCCTGTGAATTTCCTGGTGATTTCATGGGAATTTCCTTGGAATTTCATGGGGATTTAATGGGAATTTCATGGTACTTTCATGGGCATTTGCTGGGAATGTCCTGTGAATTTCCTGGTGATTTCATGGGAATTTCATGGGAATTTCCTTGGAATTTCATGACATTTCCTGGTAATTTCCTGTGCATTTCATGGGAATTTCCTGGGAAATTCATGGGAAATTCCTCATGGGATTTTCCTCATTTCCTGGTAATTTCATGGGAATGTCCCTGAAATTTCATGGTAATTCCATGGGGAATTTTATGGGAAATTCACGGGAAATTCTTGGGAAAATCATGGGAACCTCCTGGGAATTTCATGAGAATTTCATGGGCGTTTCATGGGAGTAGCAGGTTGGAAGAATAGTCAGTGATATGACAACTATCTAAACCATGGAAATATACTGGGAGAATGGAAGAAGCCAGTGATGATGATGGAACAAGCCTAGGCTTAATAGATACAGTGTAGATATACACATAGATCCATCAGTGAAGATAAATCTAAATGAATACTAGTAATTTCCGGGATGCAATCATACCAGTAGTACCGCACAAGCCGGTGGCGGAAGTTTCAGAAATAGGAAACTTATAGGAGAGGTGAGTTGTTGTGACGCATGGATGGCAGAGCGAATCCACTGATGGATGAAAGGTGGTTGGAGTTGTGCTTTTTGGAGTGGTTGCAATGGTTGCAGCGGTCCCCTCACTCACAACTCCTGGATGTAGTGTGGTGTAGTGCAGCAGTTGTAGTTGCAGTTGTAGTTGTACTTGTAGTTGTAGTGGGGTTGATGTTGTTGAAGTTGTAGTATTGTAGTTGTAGTTGCGGTTGTAGTTGTAGTTGAAGTGTAGTTGAAGCGTAGCTGAAGTGTAGTTGAAGTTGTAATCGTCTGAATTTTAGCAATTGTAGTCGTTGCAATAGTTGTAGGAGTTGTAGTTGTAGTTGTAGTAATTGCAGTTGAGGTTGTAGTTGTAGTTGTAGTGTAGTTGTAGTTGTAGTTGCGGTTGTAGTTGTAGTTGTAGTTGCAGTGTAGTTGAAGCGTAGTTGAAGTGTAGTTGAAGTTGTAATCGTCTGAATTTTATCAATGGTAGTAGTTGCAATAGTTGTAGGAGTTGTAGTTGTAGTTGTAGTAATTGCAGTTGAGGTTGTAGTTGTAGTTGTACTTGTAGTTGTAGTGGGGTTGATGTTGTTGAAGTTGTAGTATTGTAGTTGTAGTTGCGGTTGTAGTTGTAGTTGAAGTGTAGTTGAAGCGTAGTTGAAGTGTAGTTGAAGTTGTATTCGTCTGAATTTTATCAATGGTAGTAGTTGCAATAGTTGTAGGAGTTGTAGTTGTAGTTGTAGTAATTGCAGTTGAGGTTGTAGCTGTAGTTGTAGTGTAGTTGTAGTTTTAGTTGCGGTTGTAGTTGTAGTTGTAGTTGCAGCGTAGTTGAAGCGTAGTTGAAGTGTAGTTGAAGTTGTAATCGTTTTAATTTTAGTAGTTGTAGTAGTTGCAATGGTTTTAGGAGTTGTAGTTGTAGTTTTAACTGTAGTTGTAGTTGTAGTTGTAGTGTCCTGGTTATTGTTGTTGCAGTAGCTTATTTGAATTTGCAGTCGAAGTGTTAGTTGCAGTTGCAGTTGTAGTGTAGCTGAATTTGTAGTGGCAGTTGTAGTTGCAGCTGTAGTTGCAGTTGCAGTTGTAGTGTAGTGGTAGTAGTTGTTGCAGTTGCAGTTGCAGTTAAAGTGGCAGTGCCACTTTTGATTGTAGTTGTAGTTGTAGTAATTGCAGTTGAGGTTGTAGTTGTAGTTGAAGTGTAGTTGAAGTTGTAGTTGTAGCGGTCGTGTAGTTGTAGCTGTAGTTGTACCGTGGTGTAGTGCAGTTGCAGCTGTCTATCTATCTGTCTATCTATATATCTGTTTATCTATGTATCTATCTATCTATCTTTCTTTCTTTCTTTCTTTCTATCTATGTATCTATATATCCATCCATCTATCTATCTATCTATCTACCTATCTATCTATCTGTCTATCTATCTACCTATCTATCTATCTATCTGTCTTTCTATCTGCAAGTTTGAAAACGAAGCTATTCTGAGAGGCTTCCTCAATTTTTGAACTTGACAACATCAAAAACGAAACAATGCTGCGAGACTTCCTCAATTTTTGAACTTGACAACATCAAAAACGAAACAATTTTGCGAGACTTCCTCACTTTTCGAAGTTGACAACATCAAAAACGAAGCAATTCTGTGAGACTTCCTTCAAAAATGGAAAGTTGAGTGCCGAGCTGACGGCCTTGTACCAATGCGTTTTCCGATTTTTCCACTCCGCCTGTCTAAAGTACTGCCCCTGCCACGAAAAAGTGATGCCAGGTCATACGAAGTGCTGCACCTGTCACGCCAAATCGTCTTCCCAAAACTGAAGATCTGATGCTCCAAAATGCAACCCCTCTCAGGAAGGACCTCCTAACAGCTCTGATGAACATGTCTCTTGTACTGCGCCTGCCACGGAAAATGCATCTTGCCAGATCCTCTTCAATGTCCCACGCCTGCCATCGTTTTAGGAAATGCTACAGAACCCTCACGTTTTGCTCATTTTTGACAAAGTGCACAGTGCACAATCCCTTGCGCCTGCCACGCGAAACGACATCTGAACGTCCAAAAGTGGTCCGAAAATGTAGTATATTCAACATGTTGACCTCGAAATGTGCTTCGCGCCACAACGGCGTGCACTTTTTCGACATCACAATTTCCAAAAGTGGTCCGAACCTGTTGTGTTTTGTACATTTTGACTTGGACATGTGCTTCGCGCCACAACGGCGTGCAATTTTTCATCTGTCATTTGGCTAGCTGGCTCCGCACCCGCCGCTTTAGCGAGCCTACTTTTCGACCCTCCGGAGCCACAAGTCATTGGAAAACACAGTGTTTCGCGACTTTCTTACCTTTTCGCGCACCTGGATCTTCTTTCTTCTGAGACTTTCTCTTTTTGATCTTCTTTCTTCTCTTCTCTTCTCTTCTCTTCTTTCTTCTCTTCTCTTCTTTCTTCTCTTCTCTTCTTTCTTCTCTTCTCTTCTTTCTTCTCTTCTCTTCTCTTCTTTCTTCTCTTCTCTTCTCTTCTCTGACTCTTCCCATCTCTGCTTGTCATCTGTCCATATTGTCGGAAGTTTGACCTCTAAACTTCCTTCGGTTAATAGGTGGATATAGTTGGTTTATATTATACATTTGTATTTATAGTTATATTTCATGGATATATCAATTTTAATGCATGTATAATTAAATACTCTTCAGGATATTCAGTGTTTATAGTTTATAGAAAATCCAGACTTTCTGAGTTCATATATATATATATATATATTACATATGTATACAGAATCACTATATATATACACATCGATATGATCCACCTTCTCCATATTTTTGTTCCGACCATGTTCGGATTTTCGGGACCGAGGCCGTGGCGGATGGAGACCTCCAGAAACTGAAGCTGAGCGAAGTCACTGAAGCACCGTCCCAGGAGCGGGGAAAAAGGAGGTGGATCTATGTGTATATCTACACTGTATATGTATATTATATTATAAATGGATATTTGATTTATATTTTACTCTTTATATATATACATATATATATATATTATGTGATATATATGTTTAATATTATATTATATTTATTATATATATATATATTTCTTGTATTATATAGTATAATATGTTTTTTTTGAATATATATATATTATTTTACATATTATATTTAAAATTTTGAAATTATTTTTATTATATATATATATATTATTTACATATACAGTGTATAATCATTGTACATTTCTTAGATATGTTTTTTAGTTAACGTCTACGCAATGTGCAATATATATATATATATATGTATCTATGTATGAACATACACACATTGCATGTAATGCTGTTGTGCATTTGTACATATATACAATATACAGGTCAAACCGAGTCCAGCTGTGGCACTGTTTTTTTGATTTCAATCATTGTAAACTGCAGCACAGTGTGGGGAATTAAGGTCTGCTTTTGGGTTCAATTCATGTATCGTTGGGTTGACTTCAGTTTTCCCCTATAGCAGCCCCAAACTCATCGGCACAGGCTGATGATCCCTCATGACCGTCAGATATTTCGGTGGTTCAAACTACCGACCAGTTTCAAACAACAGGTACCAAATGTCCCTGATCAAACTGTGCATTGATTCGAGAATTCCCGGTACAATCAAGGCAAAGATGTTGGTCACTAGGTATAGCAGCAATCTATTGCGAATGTGAATACATTCTTTCAGGCTTGAAGCACTAACTACCCAGATATTCTGTAGTATCTTGGTTTTATCTACATACATACATACACACACACATATATATATATATATAATAAATATACATCCCTCAAGATCGCCCCCATTCAAGTATTTATGTTCCCAAAAACACACCAGTGGTGTACCTCAACTTTTCGATGATTTTTTCAGATGGGGTCCTCCAGTGTGAATGGCACAGGAGATGTTGTACCTGGCTGCCCGTGCTGGAAATGAGGACCAGTTGATGCAGTGTTCAACAACGCGTGTTCGACTGCAATGTTCAATGAAAACAACACAATTTTCATTGCTGAGACATGACCAAATACGAAATCAAGGTTGCATGATGTTGCATGTTCCCCTTTCAGATTGTTTCTCGCGAAAGATGCACAGTTCACAAGTTGCAGCGTTGTTGCGGCATGCACAGTTCCCTTGGAAAACATGCATACAACAAGCAAACTTCTGCCTGCAAGCACATCTACTCGAGGGTTCTTCCTGCCCCACACACAGCCTATGAAGGTACATTGGTCGCTTGTGATCCTATTCATTGTTTCTACGTTTTGAACCATAAAAAATAGGGTCGCAAGTGACCAAGTGTGCTTGGAGTCCCACGCCTGTCACATAAAGTAACTCTGTCCCCTTTGTGGTCGCTTGTGACCTTATTCGTGCCCGAAGTTCCATTTTTGAAGGAAGTCTCGCAGAAAAGCTTTGTTTTTGAGTTTCGAAGCTTCATTTTTGAAGGAAGTCTCCCAGAAAAGCTTCGTTTTAGAGCTTCGAAGCTCTGTTTTTGAAGGAAGTCTCGCAGAAAAGCTTTGTTTTAGAGCTTCGAAGCTCCATGTTTGAAGGAAGTCTCGCAGAAAAGCTTCGTTTTCAAGCTTTCAACTTGAATCTGAAATCAAATTTCAAATCAATTGATTTTCAAACCAATTGAATTGAAGTTGAAATCAATTGAAGTTGAAATCAATTGAATCTCAAATCAATTTAATCTCAAATCAGTTGAATCTCAAAGCAATTGAGTTTCAAAGCAATTGACTTTCAAATCAATTGAATCTGAAATCAATTGAAATTCAAACCAATTGAATTTCAAATCAGTTGACTCTCACATCAATTGAATTTCGCGCTTCACTCCTATAGGTTTCTTATCTTTGGAAAGTTCCGCCACCGCCTCGTGCGGTAGACGTGTTATCTCAACTCTACCACTTTGGCCTTGCTACACATGTGTCAAGTCCCGATGTGTACTTCTAACTTAAAAGCAACCCCTTTTCGCCTTGCTACACATGTCTCAAGTCTCGATGTTTGCTTCATCTCAACTCTACCATTTTCGCCTTGCTACACATGTGTTAAGTCCCGATGTGTACTTCTAATCTAATTCTACCCTTTTTTGCCTTGCTGCACATGTCTCAAGTCTCGATGTGTACTTCTTATTCAAAATCCACCCCCTTTTCGTCTTGCTACACATTTTTGCGCAATCCAAGGCAGTTGACCAGCAAGGACTTAGATGATGTGGCCACGGTAAACCAAGAATCGTGTAATTCTGTGCATCTGTTTCCTGCCGTGTTGTGGAAGTGTATTTGCAAACGCGGAATTTTTTGACTTTGGAAGACATGTGGCCGCTGCCTTTTCAGATGGGTTGGCCGCGGAGACTACCTCAAGGGGATCTGGACCTGGAAGACTTGCGACAGCGGGAAATGGCAGGCTTGAGATACTAGTAGTACCGCACAAGGCGGTATTAAATGCTACCTACCTACCTACCTACCAATCTATCTATCTATCTATCTATCTATCTATCTGTCTACCTACCTACCTATCTATCTATCTATCCATCCATCCATCTATCTTTCTATCTATCTATAATCTATCTATCTAGATAGAAACATATGTATGTTTTTGAAGGATATATATATATATATATGTATATATATATATACATACATTGTATACCATGGCTTTGTGGACTGCAGGGAGCAAGTCTAAATGAAGAAATACATTGTAGACCATTGCAGTGTGGAATGCATGGGGAAGGAAGTTAAAATGAAGAAGTCAAATGGAGACCATTGTATGGTGGAACGCAGGGGGGGGAAGTTTAAATAAGGAAGTAGAATGGAGACCATGGTATAGTGGAACGTAGGGGGGGAAGTTTAAATAAAGAAGTAGAATGGAGACAATGGTTTAGTGGAACGCAGGGGGGGGAAGTTTAAATAAGGAAGTAGAATGGAGACCATGGTATAGTGGAACGTAGGGGGGGGAAGTTTAAATAAAGAAGTAGAATGGAGACCATGGTTTGGTGGAACGCAGGGGGTTAGAAGTTTAAATAAAGAAGTAGAATGGAGACAATGGTTTAGTGGAACGCAGGGGGGGGAAGTTTAAACAATGAAGTAGAATGGAGACCATGTTTTGGTGGAACGCAGGGGGGGAAAGTTTAAATAAGGAAGTAGAATGGAGACCATGGTATAGTGGAACGCAGGGGGGGTCAGTTTAAATAAAGAAGTAGAGTGGAGACAATGGTTTAGTGGAACGCAGGGGGGGGGAGACAATGGAGGTGTATAGGGGGGGTCAGTGGTAGAGCGACCACGCGGGGGGGGGGTTTTAAATTAGAATGGAGACCATTGTATTGGGAACGCGGGGGGGGAAGTTTAAAAAAGAAGTAGAATGGAGACCATGGCATAGTGGAACGCAGGGGGGGGTCAGTTTAAATAAAGAAGTAGAATGGAGACAATGGTTTAGTGGAACGCAGGGGGGGGTAAGTTTAAATAAAGAAGTAGAATGGAGACAATGGTATAGTGGAACGCAGGGGGGGTCAGTTTAAATAAAGAAGTAGAGTGGAGACCATGGTATGGTGAACGACGGGGGGGGGGAAGTTTAAATAAAGAAGTAGAATGGAGACCATTGTATGGTGGAACGGGGGGGGGGAGTTTAAAAAAAGAAGTAGAATGGAGACCATGGTATAGTGGAACGCAGGGGGGCGAAGTTTAAAAAAAGAAGTAGAATGGAGTCCATGGTATAGTGGAACGCAGGGGGGCGAGTTTAAATAAAGAAGTAGAATGGAGACAATGGTTTAGTGGAACGCAGGGGGGGGAAGTTTAAATAAAGAAGTAGAATGGAGTCCATGGTATAGTGGAACGCAGGGGGGGAAGCTTAAATAAAGAAGTAGAGTGGAGACAATGGTTTAGTGGAACGCAGGGGGGGAAGTTTAAATAAAGAAGTAGAATGGAGACCATTGTATGGTGGAACGCAGGGGGGGGAGTGTAAATAAAGGGATAGGGTCGCAGGTGACCGGATAATAGGGTCGCAAGTGACCGGGTAGAATAGGGTCGCAAGTGACCGGGTAATAGGGTCACAAGTGACCATGGTACCCCTATGAAACCTGTACACCGCATGCACATCACTTGAAGTCTCATCACATTTCATCAAGTATTAAATCATCATTACTATTACATATTATTATCTATTACTAGACATATCTATTACATTTTATTACTTTAAATCAGAAATCATGAAATACCAGTCATATCTTAGCAATGTCATACTATTATTACATATCTATTACTATAGATTCAATTAAATTTGAAATCATTAACTACCTGTCATACTTCAGCAATTTTGGTGATTTTCTCAACATGCCTCAACCACTAAGTCACATTTCAATATATCATTTTCTGAAATTTGCGGCAGGTCCTCGTAAGGCAACATTTGAGTGATGGATTGATTAAATCCCAAATTTCTATGGTTGGAATCAGCATTTCTATGTGATTTCATGATAAAATCCGAAAAAATACAAAACATGGAAGAAGACTCCATGTCAAAATCAAAATCTGCATCTGTTTATCATGTTTTGCAATATTTTCCAGATATCTTCATCTATTCTTTAAAAGCTGTTGAAATCCAGATCTTTTTGTGTTGGACCTGCAGTAGCTGCAGGATGTCTTGGCCTACTTGCTGCAGCGCGCCGACTGCGCCGAAGACAGGTGGAACTTTGGCGCCATCAGCGCAGGGGCGGCCATCAGCGGGCACCGGCACCTTGGAAAGTGTCCATGGGAAAGTTTCCATGGAAAAAACGATGGAAAATCCATGGAAAAACCCATGGGAAATCATGGGAAATCATGGTCAATTGCTAATTAGAAATATTGAGGTATTCTTATTTTCAGACAGGCCTAAGTAGGGTATGATGATGGGCCATTTAAAGGTGTGGCAATTTAGTTGATTTCACGCAAAAAGAGGGGGTGTTCAACTTCAAACAAAAGTGGATGTAGCCGCACAATACCCCGAGGTATAATTGTAGAACCTAGTAAGACTGGAAATGGATAGAGATCTGGCGCACACTGAGATGCAAGATTCAGAGACCACCCACCACATCCTACCACTAGACTTACCCATGACGCTACATTCTGACACTCTGTATGTCCCAAAATGTTGGAGACCCATAAAGCTTTATTTCGCGGGCAAGGCGGCAAGGCTGCCCTTGGCTTGGTATTGAGTGAATGCTGCACATATAAAAATATTCGTATGGACTTTGACACGGAGGTTTGTGAAAACAATTGGGATTATATATCAACCATGTGTGCAAATGTCGGTGAATGTGGAACACGATGCTGTATCTTGCACATTCCCAGAAGAAATTGAACGCCATCATCTGCGGAGCAATTCTGGGGTTTCATGCCCGGATTAGTTGGCACCTTTACGCAACTTTCACTGGTCCATCAATGTCCTTCAAAACTCTCCTTGAGGTTTGACACTGTGATTTGTTTACACATCTTGTTTTAGGTGATATGATGATAATCATGCTCTTTTATATTGGACGAGTATTCGATATGGGATAATCATTGGATAACTTATATTCCCATGATATTCCCAGTATATCTCCATTCCATCCTCATTCCATGGTGATAATATATATAACATAACACAACCAATAATGAGTCCATTAATAACCATTAACAATCACCATGAATACCTATGATGCACCATGGCATTGGAGATTCATGGTGATTCGACTTGCCATCAACCCACGATATCCCACGATTTTGCCAAGTTGTCCCCAGGTCGGCCCTCGCCTTGTTGCAGCCCTACGCGCAACGCCACGGCACGTGGCATTCCTGGGCTGTGCATGGAGCGGTAAGTACCAACAGCCTGGCAGCCTTGGGAGCACCGCTACTTCCGGCGGAGGCCAATGCTGATGTGCCTGGACCGGGTTGGAGTGATGGTGGATGTTTATGGGTATATATAATGGTTATAAGATGTTAAAATTGTGATGTTATTGAATTTCTGAAATCATCAATGGTTTTGAACTTATTTATGATATTGATGGTTATTACTGTATTATATATTGTTCGAAAAAAACCATCGGGGACGAAGCTGATCCTTCAAGTGGTGGGCTGGATTGATGGCTTCAACCTTCGGGTTTAGGCTGACTGTTTGGGAAGTGGTGACTAGTTGGGACATGGTGATTTTTTCGGGAGGTGAGTTCAATCGAATGTCGTAGTCACCATCCCCTTTTTTTGGGGTTTACCCGGCCTGGTAAACGTTTACATAACTATGGAAAATCACCATTTTTAATGTGTTAAATTACCAGAGGGTACTGCTAGGTATACCAGGATATAGGCCTATTTGGGATGGTTTGGCATAGCATCCAAATGGTAAATTGGAGGGTTGGTGATTGGGTTTGCCACGCTACCTATAATATGAATATGGGCTGGTCCTAGCGGCGGTAGAAACCTCATGTGATGTTTGTGTGTTGAATGCTTAACCATCAAGAAAACATGTACCTTATTGCCAATTTTTGGGCAATACCATCCCCACACAAACATGATGAACAAACAAGTTGGGGGTTGGAAGACAATTATTTCCAAACAAAAAACAGTCCTACAATCCTACAGTAATTCTCAGGGTGGAACTGTTGTTTGTGGCATGCTACATGTTGGTTGTATATCTCATTCAAACATGTCTCGCCATATACCATTATCGTCCATTCTATGGTTGATTTTATACCGCCCATCTTGTCGGATAAATTTCACATTGTGCGGTTCATTTGTGTTTTTTTCAGGGGCAAGATGCTCTTCTAGACCACCGGATTTGTTGGGTGTCCTGTATCCCATTTGTTCGACCCATTTTGATGATTCAACCTTCATCATTTGGCAACCTGACCCGGCTGGGAACCTCCCATTTGGTGTGAGAAAACAATCTAGAAATGGCGGTGTTGAAGCAAGGTGAGTCTTCCAGCGGACGCATTTAGGTTATGAAAGGGTAAATGTTGCAGGAAATCGCGAGGTCTGGGTGGTTGCAAAACGGTTTCAAGTTAACATGAGCCTGAAAATCCTCAACTCGGAGATTTCCCACCAAGTCATTTTACCGAAAGGATTGCCAAGTTGATCTGCACCTTTTTCACTCTCTTAATAGGAGGGAATCAAAAGGCACAAAGCCATATAAAGCCCAAGTGATACATCCATATACATCATATATGCTCCATGTATCAACATTTACCAACATTTTACCCCCAATATTTACCGCCCACATTGCCCATGTAGGCCGACATATCCATTGAGCATGGTGCGTTCTTAGGACGCCTTCAACGATGCGTGGGCGCCGGAGCACTTCTTGCAGGCACCGGGATTTTCGCCGTAAAACTCAAGGTTTATAGCTGGAAACCCATGGACATACCCTGGAAATTCCCTGGAAATAGAGTTTTTTTGTTTTTTTTCTTTCGAAATTCCCTGGAAATAGAGGTGAAAAAAGCTGGGAGAATCATCTGTAAATAGAGATTTTCCAGCACGCCATGTTTGATGACCGGAGGGTACTGTAGAAATCATGCTTTTTGCAAAGCCATGTCCAGTTTTTGTTGTGTGGTTCAAACTGCCCCAAAATTGCAAGTTCAATCCATCTTTGTTGGTTGGTACGTACCACCTTGCTGAGTGAATATCAAACGAAAACTGTCTGCTTGTTTTCCCCCCTTGTTTGCTAGCTGAATCCTCATTGCTTGGTGTAATGCTGAAATTTATGTATGGATCAAGTTTTTTGGACTACCTGAATTCTGGGTAAACCATGGATGGCTACTTCATTACTTGCATCTTTTGATAGATCTACGTAGTAATAAAAGCATATATGTACTAATTGTCGAACCAGCTTCAGACAAAAAACATAGTCATCCCATTTTTTATGCATTATTTAAGACCTCGTACACGAATGTTCACCTATTTTGAAGCAAAGTTGCCATTCCAGGAGGGGATTCCACTGACTCCGCTACACTTAGCCGCGTGGAATGGTCATGGAGCTGCAGTGGAAGAACTTCTGCGCTGCGGGGCCAAAGTGAACTTCCTGGGGCAGGACATGATTTTCCAACGGCGTTGAGCCATACGTTTGGGATGTGACCAACACGAATAAAACATATGGTGCTCAAGCAATTTGCATACAGTAAATGTGATTTTTTGACCAAACATATATAACATATGATAAATGTTGATGGATAATCGTAGACTTAGGTGTTTTGATTTTGTATGTTCCTTTTTGGGATTAGATGGGCTTACCATGTATCCCACTGAAACCCTTTCATTATTTGGGTGGTCCAAGATAAAGATGGGCCGTGTCCAGAACTGAGGTAGGTCTACCACAAGTTCTGGCAAGTTGAATGGGGAAACACAACAAATAAACCAGTTGATTTGCTTAAGACACATGTTTTTTTTCGACGAAGCCAAAAAGGTGTAATTAACGTTACTTCAAAGTGACTAACCAATCTGTGAGGGTTGAGTTTGGGTTGATCCAACACGTTTCAAACCAATCTGGTCCATCTTGGCTAGAGCTCGTCTTTGGATGTCCCATACCCATCTGGATTTCAATTTGGTTACATCATGTTACATCCATTTTTTGATTGGAATCACTGGAAGTCAAGTCTGGCCGGCTCCAAGATTGAGTCATTGAGGCCTCTGAAAAATTCGGAGGACGGCTAACACAACAAAACATCATGATACTAAGTGAAACTAATAATTAGCAAAAGAAACAATGATAGCTGGTTGGTGGTTTGGAACATGTTTTATTTTTCCATATATTGGGAATAATCATCCCAACTGACTAATAATATTTTTCAGAAGGGTTGAAACTACCAACCAGACAGCAAAATAATGATAAGGAAAGAAAAAAGCTACCAGAAAGTTGCCATTTCTTTACCCATTCCCAAGAAATCCCATGGGTTTTTCGCCCTGCACAGGACCTGAAGAGGGTCCCCATGTGGCGTCCTGCCATGGATGGCTCTGCTGGCTCTTCTCCACTTCATTTGGCCGCGCTGCGGGGGCATGCGGAGGTCTATTTTTTTCGGCTGGAGGATCATCCCAGGGTCTGTGAAAAAGTGGCTAATAACACCACTACTTATCATATATACATTGTGTTTTAGTCAGATAGTGAGTTAGCTAGCTAGCTAGCTAGTTAGTTAGTCAGTCTTGGTTGGTTGGTTGGTTGGTTGGTTGGTTGGTTGGTTGGTTGGTTAGATATTTGGTTTGTTAGTCTGTTAGTTAGTTAGCTAGCTAGTTAGTTAGTTAGCTAGTTTGTTTGTTTGTTAGTTAGCTGGTTAGTCAGCTAGTTAGTTTGTTAGTTAGTTAGCTAGTTAACTGGTTAGTCAGCTAGTTAGTTAGTTTCTTAGTTAGTTGGTTGGTTGGTTGGTTAGTTGGTTAGTTGGTTGGTTGGTTGGTTAGTTAATCACTTAGTTGGCCAGTCAGTCAGTTTGTCATTGAGCCTACATGGATTGCTAAGTTAGTAAGACCCTAGTTAGGATATCCCTAGTGATTGGGTTCGACCCCCATTGGTGGGGTTCTCCCATTAATCTAACGTTCCTACGGAAATCTGCAGGTCAGTGCGACGTCATTGTGATGAGTACTGAGACGCAGTTTTTGTATCACCAAAAGAAAGCCGGATTTATATGGATTTCAATGTTTTCAAGTGAGCAAATTATTGTAAATGATCCTTAAGTTTAAATTGTAAAGCACATGAATTCATGGATAAAATTGGTCGATTCGACGTGTAGATCATAAAAGCCCACCCTGTAGGGCACCAATTCTCAAACAGTTGATACACGTTGCTGATATATTCTACAAAATATCCAATAGAATTTTCATTGAATATCCCATTACATGACTGTAGAAAATGGGCCCAAATTGTGAGTGACTTTATTTTCCAATCAATTATATCATTTGTATATCATGTGTTTTCCAATCACTTATATCATGTGTTTATCATTTGTTTTCCCATCATTTATATTACTTAATATACGACGATCTGCTTCTCATGAATCCAACATTTCGTGGGATTTAGGTGATGCATCACTTGCTGGACGCTGCTGGTGCTCTGGTGGATGCACGCGATGCTGCTGAGGCCAGATTTGGCTCGCTTGCCAGGAATCGCATGTGCGGAATAAGATGGGGCCGCAGATTTGAAATACCATAGCTATCCATGGCTGTATATGAATCCGGGATTCATATGGATTATATCATTATATCTGGATTTTTGTTCACCACTTGCAAACCGGGACATCCAAGAATGAAACCATAGAGGGACGAATCATTTAGATGATCGAAAATGGTGCTATATGAGTTACCGCTCGGAGATAGCCCTTTCGCCAGGTTTTTTTTGATGTAGTTTATGATATTATGGGATAGTTTATTGACCAAAAAAAAGTATTCCCACTGAAATATTGCACAGATGTTTATCAAGATGAAACATATTCACAGGAATAGCGTCCATTTATTCGATGAAAATCATTCCATCATCTATTACTTGTTTTCTATCAAACACGTGATGTTCCTTTCAATCTCCCATTTGTTCAAGGGCTTTTCTCTACCAATCCCAATTATTTGAATAGCAATCTGCGTAGAACAGAATACACTGATCAAGAAAAAACACAATGTTAAGATATACGTGTATATACATATATATATATACATATATATACATATATATATATATATATATGTATTTGCAATTATATATATATACACATACATAAATATGTATATGGAGGTTTCCTAAAATAGGGGTACCCCCAAATCATCCAAATTAGACCATTTTAGTACTTAAACCTATGGTTTCGGGGATTCGCGATCCCCCATTTTTAAGAAACATATATGTGTAATCATACGTTATATATATAATTAGATGTTTATATATGTGTATATCTATATATACACATTGCAAACTATATGCTGGAGAACTTCCTCATAGATTCTCCGCGCTCAGCAAAAGTGTCGTTGGGTCAGGCGACTGCACTTCATCGCGCAGCCCAAGGGGGGCATGTCCAGGCGGCTTGGCATTGTGGGAACCCCGAGGATTCCCCATAGAGCCCTGAAACCAGTTACAACTGGCTTAAAGAGAGAGAGAGAGAGAGAGCGATACATATATATATATACTACGTCAATCTTAGATGGGTACTTTAATCCTTTAGTCTTTTGGTATCAATGGGAATATCTACTAACCAGCAAAGAATTTTATTTTTCGCAGGGTATCTAAGATTGGCAATGCATATATATGATTATACATACTATCTATATAATCGTAGTTGCAGGAGTTATCATTCCATTTGGAACGGAAGAAAGGGCCATAACTGGCGGAAAAGGATCTACATTTATGATGGATTTTCCACATCTACGTAAACGGAAAGCGTTTGCAGGAGGGTACCATATCCTCCAGATTTTTTTTGAATATCAAGCCGTGATGTTGGAGTATTAGCCAAATTGACTAGCCCAATAATTGGCTAATACTACCCTAATATTCTAGTCAATGTATATTCCCGATATGTATAATTAGCTAGTCAATTCAAATCGTTGGAGTATTACCAATTATATTAGGGTAATATAGTATTGATATACAACATAATTGGGATGATAATGATTCCAATACATTCTAATATTACCCTACTAAAATCCCAATGATTTTGTATATCTCAAGTCTATCCTTTGGAATATTGCCAAATTACTAGGGGTATTATTGGAATTTCTAAAGCCATTAGGTTTGGGGGGACTAACCAGTTACTACCCTTCGTGTCATCAAACATGTAAAGCTGGGAAATTGCTCAATGGAGGTTTGGTTCGCTGGGAAAATCATCGAACTACAAACTATCGCTGGGAGGGTATCAAGAAGAGAACTTGGGACAAGTGGGCAAAAACTGCCAAGTTTGGATTGATACTGTAAAATGATATGACATTTCAAGCATTGATTACTAAACGAAAGTATTGGACTTTTAAATGAATCTTTTCACAACAAGAAATCAACATTGTTGTTCTTAATCCAAGATTATTAAATAGCATCAAGAATTACAATGATTATTTTCTACCTTCATCTATCAACAAACAAATACAATCATTAGTCATTACCATATATTACAATCACCATTTATATAATTACAATTCCATTTGTGCCTGGGTCAAACTTGGATGATAAGCCTGCACTCATTGTGCTTGTATTTAAATTATGGGATGGATGACCATAATCCACTATATAATCCCATGTAACTTGACCATGGCAATGTTCCTGTAAAAACTCCTGCAGTAAAACCATGTATTGTATATATATCATCGATCTGCCCGATAGCGTTGGTTCAAAAGAGCTGAGTGCTTAACGGTGTTAGCTTAGTATTTCACCCCATTGTCGGTTGACCTGGTAAAATACAGGTTATCAGCCGTAGTCTCACTACTTTGCTATGGGGACCCCAATTGACCATCCTCTCGCCGTTCCAGGGTCAGGTCCATCGGCTGTCGCTGTGCCTAATATGGCCGGGGGCAACCCCGAGCCGATGGATGACGAAACAATGTTCCAACCCGTTGTTGCGTACTTTACCTTCATACAAAACAACCTGTCCCAGATTACTAGTGGGAATACCCTGCAAGTCATGAGGGAAGCTGAACAGAGGCACCTTCAGATAATGCATGGAGTAGTTGACTCAATTCGAAATGAATGGTCAAGTAGACTCGTAATGCAGGAGCAGGAGTATGAGCAAAGGCTGCAGGAGGTTGAAGGTAATGCCATTAGTGCCCTCAACGAGGAGAGGAAACGAGGCGACGAGATGGAGGTCAGGTTGAATCAGGCTCAGGCATCGCATGACAAAAGAATAGAGGATGTAAAGGCAGAGGCAAACACAAAGCATGATCAGAAAATTGCAGAGGAAAGGAAACGTATCACTAGTGAATTCGAAGCTTCCTATGCACAGACAGTTGAACATGCAAAGAATGCCATAGCTGCCACAAAGAAGCAATATGAAGATCAGGCTGCAATTGATCAGGCCAGGTTCATCAGTTTGAGGACTGAGTTTGAGAACTACAAGAAGGAGATGGCCGACAAGATCAACGAGGCAGCGGCTCAGAACCTTAGCCTTCAGGACCAAATCGATGATCTTCAGGAGCAGTTAAAGCATGTTGCCAAAGCGCAGCATGCCTCCGTTCCGAAAGCATCCGTCCAGAACGCCGAGCCGGCCGCTACCACTAGCGTGCCCCACTTCAATATTGCCACTCCCAAAGCATCCGATGCACAGGCTGCCAGAGGCAGTGATGAGCCGATTCTTGAGTTTAAGACGCCTGCAGTGTTGGCGCAGGAAGCAAAGGCCAAGTTGGATGAGCTGCTCAAAGGTGGCAGTCCCAAGCAAAAGCCGGCTGTCGGCAACGACCAGCCCCAATTGCCAACGCAGTCAGGGTTTTTCACTCCCACTGAAGCTATCAAAACTCCCCCAAATGAATCTCCTAAGAGCGCAACCAAGCAACAGCAAGTTATGGGTCCCTCAGATCTTATTGAATTGGTGAAAGCCTTAACCCAAAGGGAAGAAAAGGATAAGCCAAAAACTAAGGAGGCTGAACTCATCAAGCTGAACAACATGCCCGCTCCGGAGTCATATAGAACTTGGAAGAATCACGTCAGGGATGAAGTGAAAAGCTGTTCAGATCGCCCGGATGAGGCGTGGCTCTGGCTCAACGAGGTGTACGATCAAGAGTGCGCCAGAGAGCAGTTGGAGAAGAAACTCCAAGATCCTGGAAAGTTCCTCACGCTGGATACAAAGTTATCAGCAGCGCTCACGCGCTCAGCCGGAGGGGACCTCGCAACTAGGATCTTGAATTTCAAGGAGCAGCAATCCCGAAAAGGCATCCAGGTCAGGGGAAGATATGTGCTGCTTATGTTTGAGGACTACTTCAAGACATCAGAAGAAGCAGGTAGCCTTTACAGAGTAGAAGATCTTTTGGGTGTTGTCAAAGTAGGCGATACTGTCCAGGATCTCCGAAGATTCATCAACAAATGGGATGCTACCCTAGCTGGCATGGCTGTCACCCCTGATGATGCTGTGTTAAGGGACATCTTGTTGAGGCAGATCCGACCAAGTCAGTTGCTGAAATATGACATAGAGGTGTTTGACCGTGCTCATGAGAAATCCCATGAAAAGTCTTACAGTTTTCTTCACCAATCCATGAAGAACTTGATCGATCGTGAACGATTGAGGGAGAACAGGAACCGCATTGCGGAGAAGAACAAGGCTGGGATTAAGGACACAAAGGCCGCACCCGCCAAAGGCGATGGTCGCGGCGGCCGAAAGGGCTCTCCAAGTCGCGGTAGATCGCAGGAACGAGGTGGCAAAGGCGAAAAGATTTGCTATAAGTTCCAAAAGGGTACCTGTGATAAGGGGAAGAAGTGTCCATTCAAGCATGTCAAAGATGATAAATCTCGAACTCAATCACCCAGAAGAACCAAAACACGTTCACCATCAAGGGGCAATAAGGATGATAAGGGGAAGAAGATGTCTAAAGAAGAAATGGCTAAAACCCCATGCATCTATCATGCCCAGGGAAAGTGCAGACGTGGTGACAAATGTTTTTATAAACATGATGACAAAGCCGCTGCCGCCACCAAAGACACCAAAAGGGCCAATTCACCCGCTCCCAAGAAGAAGGGCAAGGATTCCACAGCCGCTCCATGTCTGATCCACAAGTTTGCATGCATCGTCCGAAAACAGCCGAAGGCAACTTCGTGCTCTGATGAGGCAAGTGTCAGCATGAAGCGTCTTAGATTCCGAAAGGCCCCACATGTGATCGAGGTGAAGGCAGTCGGTCGTCAAGTCCCAGTCAAGCACCGTCCAAGAGAGTTCACTAAGGTGTACAAGACAGCTGAAGATGTTCCAGTTTCATCGAAGGTTGAACAGCATGAAGCTCAGGTTCGTGCAAGACAGCTCCAAGAAACTGTGAAACTTCATGATTCAGATGTTGCACCAAGTTGTGGGTTTTGTTGTTGGGATGAGGACACACGTGACATCACATGCAAAGAGTGCAGGTTCATCAGCGGTCCCAAAGCCCTTAGAGACATTGGTCGTTTCCCGTCAATTGCCACAGCTGCGCCAAAGGCCGGTGTTAGTTGGCTCGTCGACTCAGGTAGTGAATCCGATCTTGTGTCCAAAGGAATGCTGAGGGATGTAAGTGCCAAGAACTGCCGTGCAGCCGAGCATCCGATTTCCTTAGTCACAGCCAACGGTTCGACTGAGGCAAACGAAGTTGCTGATGTCAAGTTGTCCGCATTGCCAGATCCCGTGCATCCGTATGTGCTTGATCATACCCCAGCTGTGCTCTCCGTAGGAACGAGATGTGTAGATCAGGGTTACAGTTTCGTATGGCCTGCAAATGGCAAACCAATCCTAGTCCGTCCAGATGACAAGGTCGTCCAGCTCAAGATCGAAGGTCATGTCCCAATCTTGGATGATAGTTGCAAGGTTTATCCCAAAGATCAATTTCAAAAGGATAAGCACCTCAAAAAGTTGTTTGCAATGCCGACCTCACGGTCGAGCTCAAAAGCCAAGCGGGACGAAGCCCAAGATGAAGAGCAGTTGGATGAGCTGGTGGAGGATAACGCTCAGCAGGAGTACATCCGAAGCCGCAAGACTGAGGATCTGTTGGCTGAAGCTGCAAGTACCCAACATCAGTACACGCATTTCCCCAAGAACCCCTTTTGCAGAACTTGCCAACGAGCAAGGATGATGGCACCCCAGGCACGAAAGAAGGGTGGTCAGAAGAGAATCGAAACTGAAGTGTTTGGTGACCACATCATTGGGGATCATGTCATCATTAAGAAAAATGTAGAAGAGGGTTTCAGGGGGGAGCAAGTTGCGTTGGTGTTGAAAGATCTGCACACCCAATATCGGTATGTCTACCCTAGCCAGTCCAAGGACTCACAAAGCTGTGTTGATGGTTTGAATCACTTCATTGGATCAAAGGATGATGTTCAAGTTGTGTACACTGACAATTCCCCAGAATTGATCAGGGCCATTAAGGATTTG